GTGTGTCTTTTATTGGTCCTGCTGCTCGTTTTATTTTTATCCTGGTTTTCTCCTTGTTTGTTCTTATGGACTGGTGTTTAGAAGCCCTGGGACCTTTTCTTAAACTAAAGGAAAACATCCAAATATTAATTAATTGTGTTTGAAGTCAAGAGGCATTTGAGCCTTTAAAATTTGTTGAATTCTGAGTTAAATATCTATCCAGAGGGATATTTACAAATGGGTTCCATTTGTTCTCAAAACTGTCCATTTCGAGAATTGCTTTTCTTAGTTTTATGGCTGAAGAACATTTTCAGATCTAAAACTTTTCTCAGTCATGTCCACATTGTTGGAACTTTGATCATTTCCAATGCTAGAATTCAAAATTCAATGCAAATATTCATTTCATGTGATTATTATTTTTTCTAAGCAGAGGAGTAAAACTGTAGTTCATTTGAGTTCTTCCTTGTTTTAGTCTTGCCTGTAGCCTTTAAAGATAATGTCACAAGGTATAAACACCTGCTTCCTCGGGGAGCAAGGTTATGGTAGCAGTAATGTGCAAGAAAGTACTGGAGTGGTCCTAAAACCTGGTCAGTGGAGCAAATTGGAATGGCAGAACACATCCCAAATCCTGACACTCCTATTAGCCAGGTGGGAAGGTGGTTCTTTGAGAAGGGCTTTCTTCAGCTGCATCAGCTCCAGGTAGCTTCCCACCCTGCTGTGTATAGAAGGGGCCTCTGTAGCAATGGAAGCCTCCCGACTGGCAGAGCTTGATGGAGTCCAGTGAAGGCTCCCCTTTGCAGCACAGATTCAGGGTTTAGGATTGCACTCCCACTTTATATCAAGCATAAATACCTTGGATGTCTTCATTCCATCCAATTCAGAAATAATTTGGACAAACTTATGCAGACATCCACATTAAGTTTGAATTTTGGACTTTTAAAATAAGAGGCAGTGACATAATTGACATTTATCAGGACCCCGTGTGTAATTCCGCTGCAACACTCATGCTACTAATAGGGAAAATTGCATTGTTCCCCTCCTCCTCAGTTTATATTACTTAATGAGAGTTCAAAGAGATTGTAAGTCACAATTCATGGCATGGTGATCTCAAGCATCATGGAGGCAACTGATGTCTCCCTGCATGTGCAGGAGACTATGGCTTTTACACCATGAAGTGACTCTTCCTGCCCATCAGTTCCAACTTCACTAAGCAACATGAAGAATGTATGTGTGTTGGTATGCGTACATGCACGCACATATACATTTGTGGAAACTATAACTGTCCTGTTTGTGGGTGTGGAGGATGTAGCCATCCTGGTGAGCTTCTGGTGATTTGAACTACAGCTCCCATCAGTCTCAGCCAGGATGGCCAATGATCAGGAATGATGAGAGCCATATTTCTACTACTGCCCAGGGGCCTAATCCGGTCCTGTTTTGGACCAGATGTCGAACATGGAAATTCAGAATCTGATGCATACAGCTCCAAATCCACTGATTTCTAGTTTATTCTTTCCACACAGTCAATTTTTTAGTTGTATGTGTTTCCAAAGCATTTCATTTCAGATATTAAAAAACAAACAAACACCCAACCCTGGGTGCAAGAGCACAAAAAAGGTCGATGCATTGATCTATCAATCTGATGTACATCTCCAGTCTCTGAATTTTAGCCAAATTATATGCACGTTAGGTCTTGGGAAAATGGAAGAGAGGGTGATTTCCCCTTCTCTGTGGCAACTATCATGAATAAATGATTCTTCTATTTATATTTAAAACATATTTTTGACAATCTCAGTGAGTAGTCAGCCAGTAACTCTGTAGTTTAATGACACAGGTCTCCTGTATTTTTAGTAATACAACAATTTTACTTTGGGATTTCAGATTATCTTAAACCATTACACAATATAAGATTTCAGCTAACATATATCTTTATGTGAACTTCATTCAAGATACACACAAACAATTTGCATCATATGTAACTGATAAAAATAAAATTTTCCACACACTATATTTAAAAACCGATTCAAGCATCGTGAACATATTTTTGATATAAAATAGGGAATGACTTTGAGCTTCTGATGAGCAAAGGTGCCAGAGGTTTTTAAACAAAGAGAAACAAGTACAAGACCACAGTCTCTACCTTCATTGAAATTCTTAAGGTGTTTCCAACACAGCAGGCCTGAAATAATCAGGTAAAATTACTGAAATTCTATCCTATATATTACAAGGTCACCTTTGTGGAGAGATTCATTCTGGGACTCAACAACTGAACCAAAGGAAGTAGACAGATAGGTGAATTATATTGGAAGGACTCAAACAGCAGGAAATCATATTGAATCTGTTTCTGAGTTAAGTGAGGAGCTTGGTCTTATACAATAACAACTATGTGACTGGACCTACGGTTGCACCAATTTTTTATTGGAGCTGGAGTTTAGTCGGAGCTGGAGTTTTAGAAAACCCAAAGACTATAGCTGTATTCACCTTGCATTTTAAACTCTTTTCTGCTCTCCTATTAAAAACATATTGTGGCCTAAAATATGCAGTACATAATATTTTATGAGTGTCTGAATAATGGATGGGGCAATAATTCAAAGTAGGAATGCTCAACCATGTAAATTCTAGTGAGCAGTATCAAGGTGGGCATAATTTGCATTTGGGTCAGGACTCCATTATTTTCAATGGGATGAGAAATTGGATCCATGAGAAACCCCAGTGAATCCACTGTTGGTCAAAACTGCAAGTATGTAGCTCAGGCCTGGATCATAGAATCATAGAATCATAGAATCATAGAGTTGGAAGAGACCACAAGGGCCATCGAGTCCAACCCCCTGCCAAGCAGGAAACACCATCAGAGCACTCCTGACATATGGTTGTCAAGCCTCTGCTTAAAGACCTCCAAAGAAGGAGACTCCACCACACTCCTTGGCAGCAAATTCCACTGTCAAACAGCTCTTACTGTCAGGAAGTTCTTCCTAATGTTTAGGTGGAATCTTCTTTCTTGTAGTTTGGATCCATTGCTCCGTGTCCGCTTCTCTGGAGCAGCAGAAAACAACCTTTCTCCCTCCTCTATGTGACATCCTTTTATATATTTGAACATGGCTATCATATCACCCCTTAACCTCCTCTTCTCCAGGCTAAACATGCCCAGCTCTCTTAGCCGTTCCTCATAAGGCATCGTTTCCAGGCCTTTGACCATTTTGGTTGCCCTCCTCTGGACACGTTCCAGTTTGTCAATGTCCTTCTTGAACTGTGGTGCCCAGAACTGGACACAGTACTCCAGGTGAGGTCTGACCAGAGCAGAATACAGTGGCACTATTACTTCCCTTGATCTAGATGCTATACTCCTATTGATGCAGCCCAGAATTGCATTGGCTTTTTTAGCTGCTGCGTCACACTGTTGGCTCATGTCAAGTTTGTGGTCAACCAAGACTCCTAGATCCTTTTCACATCAGAGAATGAGACATCAGAGAATGTCTCAACCAAGATTAGTCACAAACAAAACAGACTCTCTTTTTTGGCTTGGAAAACTCAGCAGCTTGGTCCAACTGCTTTCTAAAAGAAGAGGGCTGCTTACTTTACTTTCAGCAAAATATGAAATAGTGGTCTTAATGTCTCAGTGCAGTAGTTTGAGTCAAGGCAAAGGGACTAGACAAAGATCCCTTTATATGGCTAATGTAATCAAATGGCCAACAAAGCATCTTACACAACAGCCATTTACTATGTGACTATGGCCAGTATGTTTAGGTGTATCTCTGACTCTGGTTCAGCCAAAGCTATACATATTGGAAACCCACTGGGAAAGTTCTTTTAAAAGGTGCTTACATCTTTCCCATTTAAAGGAATGGAAAACTTAATATTAACTGGATCCTATTTCTAGACACCTGCTCACCAGTAGAAGATATTACTGAGGCAAAGTGAATATGCAATTCTGCATCATCACCATGTTTCAACAATCCTCAAACTATATATGAGGTGGTTACTGAAAATGCATTATTGCATAACTGGTTGATTTATTGTTCATGTGTTTTTCCTTTTCATTCATAGGGGTCTGGGGCATCTCACTTACTGCTAAAAATCCCCTACAGATTGGTACTAATCTTTAGTACAGATTGGTACTAAGTTCTTCCAGGAATCATAATAATAATAAAACAAATTTTCATTACATGCTGTTTAAGCAAGTCTTTTCTTGTGGCCTTTCTCTCAGAGCTGGCTGACAGTGCTTATGCGCCAAGCCTTGAATTTGATGCACTGATTTAATTAGCATTTAAGGGAACAAGAAATCAACAACATTAAGATCTTAATTTTGGTACTGTTTTCTACATTGACCCACAGCGTTGCATGGGAGTGTTTAATCCTAAACACAATTAAATGGAAAAATAATGATTTAGATAAATTAATGGGATTAATGCCCAAATTATCATGTTAGGTATTGGTGGGGAAATAATGTACAGTGCATAATCTGAGCCAGTCATGGCCGGATAGTGAGCCCGTTACTGAGACAAACATGTATCGGTTGTCTCTCCTCAGATATTCTATCTCAGGGGTAGGCAACCTGAGGCCTGGGGGCTGGATCTGGCCCATTCGCCTTCTAAATCCGGCCCACAGATGGTCCGGGAATCAGTGTGTTTTTACATGAGTAGAACGTGTCCTTTTATTTAAAATGCATCTCTGGGTTATTTGTGGGGCCTGCCTGGTGTTTTTACATGAGTAGGATGTGTGCTTTTATTTAAAATGCATCTCTGGGTTATTTGTGGGGCATAGGAATTCGTTCACCCCCCCCCAAAAAAAATAGTCCAGCCCCTCACGAGGTCTGAGGGTTAGTGGACCAGCCCATGTCTGGAAAGGGTTGCTGACCCCTGTTCTATCTTGTGTGGGTCAAGGAGCCATGGTGCCAGTACCTCATCATTTCTGTTCACATAGTATTATTCCTCAGGAACACCAAGATGTTTATTAGGTGACATGCAAAGTAACCACAACAAGCACACTTAAAACGTACCAGCTGTTTTGTTTTTTTTTTCAATTTTGCAGTTTAATCCTGAATACAACCAAGAGGAAACATATATTTGGACCATATTGTGAATTTTTGCATCTCCAGTCCCTCTCAAATCTTTCTCTCCCTTGCTGAAATCTGGAATGCACTTCCTGTACAAGCATGTGATCCCAAATATAAATCCTTGCTTTTCAGATTAGCTTTTCAAAGGTTTATCACTTAATTTATGGGCACTAGCAGCTGATGCTTAAAGGCTCCACTCAGTTTCCCTAATCATTCCCACTGGCACCTAGATTCCCAGAGCCTAACAAACTTTACATGCTTCTTATAGCTGATTGCCCATTGTATGAAACTGTTTAGAATTTGTTGTTCAAAAGAAACACTAGGGCAATATCAGTTGCATTAGTTTCTTTGTTATGATATCCTAATTTATTCAGACCAGAAATCAACAGTGGAGTCCATCATGTGTGCATGCATGTGAGTTGCAGTAGAGGAAGGAAGGCAGACAAAACATTGCTCCTACTTTATGTAGAGTTGAGCAGATGCAAACAGTGGTGTAATTATGTAATATTGCATTGTTTGTTAGGTGGAATCCAAAGGATATGTTTATAAACTTATGTGAAATATGGCCCAAAAAAGTGGGATATAACTCCATTACAGGCCAATTCCTTCCTTAAAAGTTAAATACTCCTGCTGTCTCCAACCATCATATTACCAGCAATATGGGGCTTCCAAATAGAGAAGCACACACACACCCCTTCTGCAATGATTTATTTGATGCTGAACCAGATTGCAGGTTTTGGTGATCTCAGCTACTGATTTGCTCTAGAGCAATAACTTGAATTATATGAAGGATAACGGACTGGCTGTGCTGTTGTTGCAACTAAAGAAAACTAACGTCCTCCCACCAGGCTACTACCAGAGCTCAAAGTGGAAGTCATTGGCTTTCTGTGCAACTGTCATGTGTGATGAGCTACTGAAAAGTAGTGCATTGCTTTTCAGTCCTTGCTTCTGGCTTGCTCCTTCTTGATGCTACTTCCTGATTTATCCTTTGGTCCTGGTTTTGCTCCTTGGTACTCACTACTGACTTCATCCAATAATTTATGCCTCAGCCCTGACAGCTACAAAAACCCCAGCAGGGATATATGATTAGACTGTTTCTCTGCTCCCTACCAATATGCACAGTCTTGACACATTCTAATGCATCTCCTTCAAATGTGGGATTCAGAACTAGGTAACATTTCAAAGGTCCAATGAATCTTAACATGATGTCCCTATCAAACAAAAATATTGAAGGGGGTGAGGGAAGACACTAGAAAGGTTGCTGTATTGAGTCATGAAGCCAAAATAATGCTTTCAACATTACCAAAAGCAATTCTGTAATTGCTTGAAAATCTTGACATTGTGGCTGCTTGGGTTTCACTCAATCGATAAAAAGTTGGGGGTTATTCTACCAATTAATTAAATGAAATAACAATAATGGATCATAAATATGACATTAAATATTAACATTTCTGATGCTTTTGCAGAAGCCATTAAAAAGAATCCCTGGATGATTAAGTTAAAAAAACCACATTTATTTATTTCTAGGAAATGCCAAGTTCATAATCATGAAACTATGTTCAGACCTTACAGGACCAGGGAGAGTTCCCAAAGGAAGCAGGCATTAACTTAAAAGACTCCACAGTGTAATGAAAAAACAGCCATTGTTAATGTGAATCTTAATTGTATTTTTATAAATATATAATTTTTAAAAGCAAATGAGGGGCAATTAGATGTGATGTGTGCATCCATTATCATTTCCGGTGATGAGGAGAGAAATTTAAACTTCCCCAACCAGAAAGGTCTGAGCAGAAAACTACACATCAGAAACACGCATAAAAAAAATAACAGCCCACTGTGTCATATCTAGTTTGACTCACTCTTTATCCTGGCATTGCTCCTGTCAGCAAATCATCTCATATCAATTGGAGGTTCAAAAATACTAGTGCTGTGCAGCAGCTCTATGTGGGGGCCAAATAACGAATCAAATCATCCCAGGTTCAAGCCACAGCATATCCAGGCAGGGTTGGGAATGTCTCCCGAGTAAAATCCTAAAGAACCAATTCTAGTCATTGTAGGCAATACTGAGTTAAATGGACCAATGGCCTGATTAGGAATAAGGCAGTTTCCTATGTTACTAAGGGAGTTGACACAGAGCTGCTGGTTTTTGGTAGCAGTCCCATGTTGGTTTTAGATTTGGCTCCCACTCTGAAATGCTTCTCCCAAGTTTGCAGTTTGTTAACTTTTCTTCCTCATAATTGTTTTCAATGAGTTGCCCCTTGACCTCAGGTCTGGTAGACTCACTGGCTAGATATCCTCTGGGGCAGGTGATTCTGGCTTGGAGTTACATCAGAAGTGTCAGAGAGATCCAGGACCTACTATCCGAACAGTCATACACTTGCAGAACCACACACAGTTACTCTAACAATCACACCATCTCCTGCATATTTACAATCACACATAAACACTACTCTTTTGCATACACAAAGTAACATATGCATCTACAAACCACTCACAAATCGACAAGCTTGCAAGGACTCTAAAATATTGTGGCAGTCAAGATCATGATGAAAGGACAGAGGTAAGCAAGCTGTCATTTTCAACAAAATAAAAAGAGCCAGCCCTATACTTACTGGTTATGTGAAACCGTCCTTATCCCCATTTGAAGAGAACACAACTTGATTACTCTTTGACCAGGAAAGGGGGCAAGCACCTGATTAAGGATCAATCTCAAGATTACTCCGACACTTTTGAGTCGTTATTATGCTCATATTTCTTCCCTATTAATAGACCCACTTACACTGTTCCCTTGGTACATCTTTGAAAGCCCTTGTCATTTTCCTTTAACTCTTTTACTACCATTCATTCTGCTTCTCTCTCTCCTAATTTAACCTGATATTCCCATGATCATTAGCAGCTGTCCACCCCCTGCCTCTCTACTCATATGTAAGCTGACAGACTAAACCCTATTAAATGATCTTGGCATTTCAAAGTTTCAGTGTATTATGTGAAGACTGTGAAAAAACCTTCATGCTAGACTTTTATGTTGTTCTACTTTCCTGCTGGTTTATACAGTAAGCACTTCCTTTGAAATCCTTTAATTACTCTCAACTACTTCTTACTTTAAGAAAAAAAACTCCCAATATAATTCCCATGCTCTCAAAATATTGCAGTTGAGAGAGTAATCAAATGAAAATAAAAGTAAGACCATGTACATTCTAAAAAAAAAATAAAAAATCACACACAGCTTATAAATATGCCAAGATTCTAATAAGAAAATAGATGAGAAACACGGGTTTGATTCTGAGCCAAACCATGAAACCCCTTCTCAAGCAACAATGCTGACAGCTTTAGTAAAAACTTTTGCTAGAGGAGGAATTAATGTTAAACATTAGTAAAATGCAGGATTATTTTCAGCTGGAAAAAAATAAATGCACACCCAGGGGAACAGAGAAGGTGAACATGCACTGTAGATACCCAACAGCAGGTCAGTATGTCTCTCCTCTTTGTCTCTCCTCTTGTCTCTGCAGCAGATGACAATGTATACATGACTGGACTGCTTCAACAGCTGTGATCTGTCCATGAAGTTCATGCCTTACTCCCCCCTCATAGAAAAATATGACTACCAACAGTAAGAATGGATTTTGAGACTCTCCCAAGACAATGTATCATTGCTGGGGTTGGGGAAGCATGCAACATCAGAACATGGTCAGTAGTGCAATCCTGTTCTCCTTCATGGATGGAGCCCTCTACATGTGGATAACATGAAGGGGGCTTTTGTGAGCAGCTTTACATAATACAGATATAATTCTCATGTAACTTACATATCTCTTGCGAGGAGAGGTACATGAGCTGGCTGAACATTGATAGCAAGCATCCACATGCATGCATGGAAAAGACGTGCAAATTTCAGGAGTGGATAAAAGAGAAAGAAAACACAACTGCACTTCCCCGTTGTGACACTTCCCAGTTCCATGCAAAGCTGTCCCAAAACTTAACAGAAGAGACAAATTCCTACCATTATGTTCTACCACTGGAGGAAACATCATGGAATTGATTTCCTGTATAATGCATGAATGGAAGGAAAGAGGTGACAGCAGCCCAGGTTGGCCCAAGAAACAAGGTAGAGGAAAAGATTTAGGATGGACAGATGATGTCTTAAGTTGGTGTTGGTATTAGCACGAGAAGCATAAGGCCATGTGTATTTTTCAGCATGGGTGCTTCTGGTATATGTGCTTATCTTATTGACTCAACATGAACTGCATACACTGTATAAGTTTGTGTGCTCATTTTAGCTATAGGTAGGAGTATTTGGCAGGTGCATTTCACTAAACCCAAAGGTACCTAGTGAACCTTGTTAATACATAAAACTTTTGTTTCACTATCAAAATGAACTCAGTGATATGAAGCTATTTGTTTGGATCTAGAGAATGCAAGCTGTGCATGGCTGAACAAGTGAAAGAACGTTAAACCATCTCTAAAACTAGGAACATAAATATAGACCATCAAATACAATGGAGTTTCATAACTATATTCTCTCTACCAACAAGTTCAGTCAGAGCTGCCCTGCTTTGCTGCCAATGCCACACCACCACACCTGCCCTCAGTGTGTCCACTTTTAGTACAGACAGACCAGGCAAGGAAGTAGAGCATGTGACTCCTGCATTGACACCTCACATCAGCACTGTGACATAATAACCTTAAGGGGGCAACACGTCAGGTAGCAATGAAGATGGGAGCTATATTTCACTTACTGAATGCTTTGGCTAGAGGTTTTGGTAACCATCATACAGTTCTTTTCTTAACTTCTCAAAGACGCACACACTGAATTAATGCCAGGCTTTGTACAGCTTTTGAAACAGGTAGCACCTGTGTAACAAATGTGGTAAAAATCTTTCTCACATAGGAAAAGATGAAAAACCTTTGCACTGTGCATCTGTTAGCCAGACACCTCCTCATGCACAACTGAGTTCAAGGGCTTTATTCAATGTTTTACTATAAGATGTGTAGATACATATTCCAGATCAAGGACCTTGGACTATCACAATGAAAAACTACAAGCGGTAAAGGTTAAGGATCATATTCTGGCCAAAGGCTTCCCAGGATAGAGATTAGCATGTCTTGAAAAACAGATCACTGCTGCTCTCAGCATGTGGCTCAGCATGGTAGACAGCATGTATCTTTAGTTTTCCAGATCATAATGAAATATAACATCTCTTTCCCCATTCTGCATTTATTTTCATCTCCCTTGTTTTAAGGCAACTTGTGTTATCTCTTGCACTCAAAAAGGAGAATAAAAATTAACACTGATTACTGGTTAACAGCAGTATATGGAGGAAAATATTAATACCACATTTAGGTATGAGCACCAAATATACAATTTTAAAATGCTGACCATTCTAAAATGCAATATTTTAACTGTAGAAATACTACTGCTGCAGAAGCTCCGTTTCAATTGTTGCTGAATTTTGAAGCATCAATAAAGGAATCAAAAAGTTGTATTAAATATTGTTTCAATGTGGGGGTAACTAACATGTGCTTTTCAGATGTTGCTGAACTACAACTTTCATCAGACCCAGCCAGCATGGCTAGTGGTGAGGGACAGTGTCGACTGCAGCCTCTACGAAATCTGGAGGGTGCCACCTTGGCTACACTTGAAATACCTCCCTTTTCTGAGGAGTCCAAATTCTCAGCCGTTCGACAAGACATCAAAAGAAGACACATCATACATACGCTTTGCTGGCAAAGCAAATTGCAATGTGCTTAATTACTTTGGTGCCGGCAAGTGTTTGTACATCTGCTTTATTGCTGTGGGAAGCATTACCTAATAAAATGCAACAAGAAACATTTGACTGAATCTTCAGAACATTTCCAAATGAGCCTAGTTTGGGAAACCATTCAAAAACAATGAAGTCATAAACAAGGACCTGGGCCAGGTGGTCCTCATCCTTCCTATCCCACTGGCTGGTTTGTTACCAGACTTTAAGCTAGAGCTCTCAAATTCCACTGTAACAGCCAACTCTGGCTTCACACAAGCCAGGATCTAGGTGCCAACCCGACATACAGTGGGAGGAGAGAAGAGGAAAGGCAAGGGAGAACTGCTTGTTCCCAAAGCTTATTCCTCACTTCATAAACATGGTTTATGAATCCTCATATGAACTGGGCCACTGAGTCACAAGCCACCAACATTCATTCAGACTCAGTTCACACATTACCTTTCTAACACGGAAGTGCATGGGCTGGATTAGTCCTCTTCTCTTGTTCTGATGAAAGGCAGAGGTAGCTTAGAACCAGCAGTGCCACCCAAACACACATTTAAAGTCCTGCCGCACAACTTCCTTCCAGATGTGTTGCTAGGGCACCATAAAGGTAGACTGGGCTGCCAGTTGTGTTCATGCCAAATAAATCACACACAAGCAGAATTCAACCCACATTCTTACCACCCCATAATCATTACGTAAGGCTGATTCACATGACCATCTGTGCGCATGGGAGCTGTGAGGAATTGTTGGCTGCTGGTAGATTATTTCAAAAATCACTTTTTGATAAATTATGATGGCATGCAAAAAGCTGGATCCAGCATGCAGCAATTGATGCACACAGCCAATTCACTATTATCTGTAAACCAACATGGAAAGGCTTTTCAAAGGTTCTCGCCACTGACCCGATGGTGGTTTGAATTAGGCTTTAATATGTTGTCAAACCTGTAATATTCATAACAATATACTTTTCTGATCATCAACCTTCTGTGTACATATAAAAACTGTATATAATCCACAGTGCTTAAAAAATGTAAAAACATAATAAAACAAAGCTAAGACTAATACAGAATGGATGTACTCTCGCCCATAAATAATGATCATTCACAGAGAGGGAGCTGTACTCTTCCAACAACAAGCTCTACTGTCTGAGCTTATTTTCTGAATGACTTTTACTTGCCAAAACTGGAAATGAACCCACCCTTATATAATCCCCTTCACAAAGGGCTTTGGACTGCATATAGAGGCAGCTCTACATAAAGGCAACTGCTAATCTTCTCTTGAATGAAAAGAATTAGATTTGTAAAACATAATTCATCAGTTGGTATTTCTGTGGAGTCCCTAGAAAGTTATTTTTAGACTTTAAAAAAAAATGTTCCCTGCAGCAGTGGAATCCCTTCTCCAAATCTTCCACTGGTTTAATTGAATTACATCCCCACAAGGTAGATAACCAACCCTCAACTTTAGTAGGGACCACATAAGTGTGTGAGAATTTATTATTAGTATTAGTATTGCTTTTTCAGGGGGTATTGTGGTTGTTTTGTTGTTGTTGTTGTTGTTGTTGTTACGATTTATTAACCACCTTCTAAACTATCAACTCACTGTGATTTATGCATACATTAATTAAAAACAGTTATAAACACAAAACTACAGGTGCATTTAAGACAAAACTAAAAACTTAGTTTTTAAGTATAAAACTATAAATATTGCTAGAAAAAACTTTAACACCACATCTAATTCTTTGGTGACCTTCAGTCCTGCAAAATAAGACATCTTGACAAGCATTACTGCAAGATAACTGTCATTAAAGACCTATGGGAATTTGCCCCATCAAAAAGTTGCTCTGTCTCAAATATATGTGCCTAATAAGTGATAAGAAATTTCATAGGAAATTGTCAAAAGAGGATCCCAGCATCACCCACTAGCCTCATATTATGTATTATTTATTCAAATTCATAAACCATCCAACACCCAAGGCTTAGGATAGGTAGGGTTTTTCTAAAAGTAGGTTGATCTTAAACGTATCAAAAGCGATAAGAAGCCAGTTTAGACAAATTACCTGAATGCTCATTAAACAATAGATAGAAAAGTTTCAATGGCTGAGCTAGTCTCCTATCCTCAAACAGGATATCCATTATCTAAAACATCTCTGACAGGTACCACCTACCAGTTATAATCATTGCCTTCAGTACAAAGATGCCATGTCACGTTCTGCATCTGTCAATAATCCTTCAGTGACAAACTCATGAAGTATGTCACAATCAAATTATGAAGGCATAGGAGTATTTCTCATTGAGGCTGTAAACCTGTTTACAGCCTTACATGATGTACTGTTTCATCGTGAAAAAAGATTATTTCAGAGATAACTGCCATTGCAGGGGGACGTATATGCTAAAACCCTTCTCCCTGGGAACAATTTGTGGTTGAATATTCAACTACATCACCAAGATTTACCATTTCCATGATAACTAGTCTAGAAACAAGATAGCAAGTTCCCTTGCTCTCAGGGATGGGGAACCTCCGGCCCATGGGCCAATCTTGGCCTGTGATGCCGTTTTCCCCAACCCACACCCATTTGTCAATCAACTGATGTCACCGGATGATGTCAACTAGGGAACTCACTGCAGGCAATGCACTGCTGAAGCAAACCACTGCAAAGAGGAGGACTGAATCCTCTCCTCACCAGCTGGTGAGTGGAAAATTCAATCCTTCTGGGTACTGTTTGCCAGAGTGTTCCCCACAGGGAATGTCAGATGATGTCAGATGAATGACAGGTGGGTAGCTGTTCGTTCATGGGGTGGGGAGATAAAGATCTCATAGTTCCCTTGCTTGGTTATTTACTTCCAAGGAGTCCTACAATCTTTTCATGTAATGAATAGTGCTAATCTCTACAGGAACAAATCACAAAGAAATTTTACCTTTGCCTCTATGTTGAATAATCCCCTTTTCTAAAGGAAAGCATTTTTAAAAGGGCTTTGCAGGGGTGCTTGTGAAATTCACCTTCTGTGACATCCTCCACCTCTCACACAGCCCCAACTAAAATAATGCTCCAGAGAGATGGAGGATTCCCTGGAGCAGATTTTGGCAGTGTACATAGAGAAGACCAAAAGCTAAATGCATTTTAAAAGAAAAAAATAAAATGTGTAAATAGAGATAAAGTTCTCTATAAATACCATTTTGTTTTAATGAAATACTATTTAAATGTGAACTTTTGTGCAGATTTTTTTATTAAATGCAAACAAAAGTGGAAATGGGAGAGAACTATTTTATTCATTTTTATTTATTAACTTTTTTTCCTGCCCTTCTTCACAAAGGAGCCCAGGGAAGCAAACATCAAAATTATGAATGTGAATTCAGCATAGATGGGAATTCCCAGGAATCTCCTTTTACTTTAAAGATAAAAGATTCAAACTAACTATCCCCCAAGAGTTAGAAAAATTCTCCAGAAGATACGACAAAGAGTTAGGGAGGACAGGGAAAATAAAACCAAGACAGGATCAGAAAGAGGAAGGAAAGGAAAAGGAGAAAGAAGAACAACGTCAGGAAGAAGAGGAGGAACAAGAAGAACAAGAAGAAGAGAGAGAGGAATCAGAAGAAGAAGACAACAACAAAGAACAGTAAATTTAGCGCAACTGAGTGGGAACTCTTAGATAAAAGAAATAATGAACCTGAAAGTATTTTCCTGGAATGTCAATGGGATGAACAATTTAAATAAGAGACGAAAAGTTAACCATGTTTTGATTAAACGAAACCTAGATATCATATGCCTGCAAGAAACACATGTAGCAAAAAAGCATAAAAGAATTTTAAGTAATAAAAAACTGGGCCAAGAGTTTATCGCGTCAGATTCGAACAAAAAGAGAGGTGTGGTAATATATGTAAAAGAGAAGCATGATCCAAAATTAATCTTTAAGGAGGATGAGGGAAGAATATTGATTGTACAAATTGGGTTTCAAGGGGGAAAATGGCTGATTGTGGGGATCTATGCACCAAACGATAAGAAAGCTGAATTCTATACAAAGTTGAATGAAATAATGTTAGAGTATTTAGATCAGAAATTGATACTACTGGGAGATTTTAATGGAGTGGTGGTACCGGACTTAGATAGATTAACGAAGAGGCGAAATACATATGAAGGTAAACTCCCGAAGGCCTTCTTTGATATGGCCAATACATTGGGAGTAATTGACATCTGGAGATTAAGGAATCCAACAGTAAGACAATTTTCATTCCAGTCTGAACCAAACCAAAGCTTCAGCAGAATAGATCAGATCTGGGTTTCTAAGATTCTAACACCAAGAGTAACTAGAATTGAAATCCTCCCAAGAACCCTGTCAGATCATAATCCGCTATATATGGAATTAAAAGGAAAGGACCCTTCTACACATAGATGGAGAATGAATGAGAGCTTATTTAATGACCAGAGAGTAGTGGAAACTGCAAAAGAGACAATAACAGACTATTTTAAATGGAATCTAAACAAAGAAACACCAGTTGAAACAGTCTGGGACGCGAGCAAAGCGGTGATAAGGGGTTTCCTGATTCAAAAAAACAGCTTCCAGAAAAGAGGGAGAGAGAAGAAGAAAGAAGAGATCCTGTCCCAGCTCATGGAGAACGAAAAACAGCTAATAACAAAACCTAAAGATGAAATAATAAAACGAAATATAAAAATGTTGCAGTCTCAGTTCTCCATGGTGGTGGGACAGGAGATCGAATGGAAAATAAAAACCATGAGACAAAAAAAATTTGAGTCGGCCAACAAAGTTGGGAGATTCTTGGCGTGGCAAATAAAAGCAAGACAAAAACAGAACACAATTTGTAAAATAAAAGATGGGGATAAATTGATTGAGGACCCGAAAGAAATTAGAAAAGTATTTCAGAGATTCTATAGAGATCTTTATAGGAAAGATAAAGAAGACAATAAGAGAATAGAAAAGTATATCCATGACCATAAACTACATCAAATCTCAGAAGAAGAAGAAAGAATGCTTAACCAGGAGATAACAGAATAAGAGGTCACGAAGGCAATAAAAAGAATGAAAATAGGGAAGGCCCCAGGACCGGATGGTATCTCAGCAAAGTATTATAAAACACTATCGCAATACCTGACACCTGTTCTAAGTGAAGTAATGAATAAAGTCTTAAGAGAAGGAAAGATGCCAAACACCTGGAAAGAAGCTTATATTACACTGATCCCGAAGAAAGAGGGGATATATTAGATGTAAAAAATTTCAGACCAATTTCGTAATTGAATAACGACTATAAGCTATTTGCGGATATACTAGCGAATAGACTAAAAATGGTGTTAAATAAGGTGATACACAAGGACCAAACAGGCTTTCTGCCGGGGAGGCAACTAAGGGACAACGTAAGAAACCTGATAAATATAATTGAATACCTTGAAGTCAGAAATGAGAAACAGGCAGTACTATTGTTCATAAACGCAGAAAAAGCGTTCGATAATGTTTCTTGGCATTTCATGAAAGAAAACTTAAAAGTACTAGGAATTGGTGAAATTTTTTTGAGAGGTATTGACACGATT